ATTACTGCAATTAATTGCAACGCAGCCAGTCATTTTGGAAGCTGAGAATACGAGACCGAAAAGCGTATTGACGTTTACGAAAAGGTTATGTTTTCACATGTGTTTGGTTCAAAAATGGCGGATCGAGAATACCTACTTTTTTAGAGCTCTAGTCCTCTAGCTTCGCCCCTGTAAAGCGCAACTCTCGTATCAACCTATCAAACAGGAAGTGACCTCCCATTGTTTCCGACGTCGAATATTTCATGGTTAGAAGTAATTTTCTGAGTCTAAGTTGGCTAGCTATGCCTTTCCGTTCAAAGGTGTTCGACAAAACTGTCCAGATTCCATGCGCTGTATCTTCATCTTTCACGTATTCAAGATGGCTGTCCGCAATCCGCTGCACAATCTGCGATTTAAGGTGCCTTTTCATGCTGACGCTCGACGCTCATTTTCAGCGTCAAAATAGGTCACGTGATCAAAATTGACGTGACCACACTAGATGGTCGGTTGACGCCAGCGTCAACAACAAGAAGTTCGATTTTTCCAACTTCAAGCGTCAAGCCGTGTATATGCGTGTATCAGTAGGATATTACCAGTTAGGTTAGGTAACTGACAAACAACTAAAAAATGTGTTCCAGGGATGAATTCGCAATAAATTCTGAAAATGTAAGTTAATTTAATCATAAGTTTATATATGAATCGTAAGTTTATATATTAATCTGTTTTATATAAAATTTTATACGATTATATTACATTCGTTATTCAACAGAAATGCAAAAATACTTGGGATAAGTAATTATAAAGTTGAAAAATTCTATAAAGTTCAATTTTTCAAACTTCTATTAAATATAAATTTGAATATTTATTAGTAATTTTCATTTTTAGCTTAATGTCAAAACTTGTGGTATTTGTTTTGACAAAATTACTAATCTTAATGATATCTCAAAACATCCATGCTTTAAAGGATATAAACGTTTTTATCACGATGCAGAAACATCACAGTTGCATCCTGTGACAAGTAAATAGAAATTTATTATTAATAACTATTATTTGTATAGATTAATAACTATGTATTTATTTATCTTAAAAAAAAAAATTCTTGTAGATTTTCTAAAAAATTCAAGTGATGGTAATGATGGTAATGATGATGGTAATAATGATGGTAATGATGATGAAGTTTTACAGTGTGTAGATGATTTTGAAATCGAAAAAAGTAAGTATAAACAATGATTTGCTTAATGTTAATACTATTAATACTATTGATACTTGTTAATAATTTTTTTATTATAACAGCTGTCAACATTAATAAAAGAATTAACAAAAAAAATTGCGAAAAAGTGAGTCTAAATTTTGATGATGAAGAATTATTAATTTTGGAAGTAAGAGCTCGAGAACCTCTTTGGAATTTTCAATTAAATATACAGGAAAGAAATTCAAAAATTACAAATAAATTATGGGAAGAGGTATCACTGGCATTGGGAAGTGAGTGTCACGCTTAACCTAAGACCGGTATTCACATAAGTCTGTCCTTATTTCAAGACCGTCTTAAGTAATGTCTTAAGATGCTAATACGGCGCTGTGATTGGCTTATGACATCTTAAGACTGTACTTAAGATGGTCTTAAATATAAAAACCGGTCTTATTTTAAGACCATCTTAAGTAATGTCTTAAGATGCTAATACGGCTTTGTGATTGGTTAATGACATTTTAAGATTGTACTTAAAACGGTCTTAAATATGAATACCGGCCTAAATTTTTTAAAAGATTAAAACGTCTTATCTAAGTTGTTGGAAATAACAAAAACTTTTAGTTTTAATAAGACAAACATTATTTTTAGATAAGATTAGTGCTGAAGGGGCAAAACAAAAATTTAAAAGTTTACATGATACATACAGAAAAATAATTCAAGCTGAAAACTTACCAAGTGGATCTGCAAAAAAAAGCTCAAAGAAATGGCATCATTATGATGCTATGAATTTTTTAAGAGATTCATGTTTGATAAAACAGTGAGTGTTTGCGTATATAAACGCACATGCACATTAAGATTGGTTACATTAATTGTTTATAAAAAGTTAATATTTATTTATTTATTTAGAACTACCTCAAACTTGTGTTCCACTGTGGTAGAGTGTGCTTCCAATTCTGGAAATGAAAATAACACGTCTCTCAGTAAGTTTCTAACAATTTTTTAGTTAATTAACATTTAATACGATTATAATTTTTTATAAACAAAAAATAATCTTTAGATAAATCTTCTCGAAAAAGAAAAAGACAAAACGATTTATCAGATAATGCTCTTGAAAGGATTGCTGATGCCCTTAGTACAAACCAAGAAACAACAATATCAGTACCGCCTCCACCACAAGTAGATGAAATTGATGCATTTCTAATTATGTTAGGCCATAGAATAAAAAAATTACCCCAAGAAAAGCAAATGGAAGCAATGCAGAATCACTTACAATTATCTTTCAACTACTTAAAAGAGTAACATTAATATTTCCATTACTTGACAATATTATATAATTTTTTTTAGATCTATATTTTTTTCTCATCTATATATATAAAATAAAGTCGGGTTAGTTACACCACTTATAACTCAAGAACGGCTGGGCCGAATTTTTACCACAAGTATATGAAATAGGGGTAGAATTTTCTGGAATAGCAGAATAACTAATAAAATATCGGAAAAATTCACGTAAAAAAAAATTAATCTAGAAAGATATCCAAATACATAGAAAAAATACATAGAGGGAGGGAGAGAGAAAGAGAGGAAAAGAGAGAGGGGGAAAGAGAGAGAGAAAAAGAGGGGGAGAAAGAGAGAGAGAGGAAGAGAGGAGAGAGGGAGAGAGGGAGGGGGAGAGAGGGAAGGGAAAGAGAGAAAGAGAAGGAGAGAGAGAGAGAGAGAAAGAGGGAGAAAGGGAGAGAGGGGGAAAGAGAGAGAGAGAGAGTGAGGGGGGAGGGAGAGAGAGGGGGAAAGGGGGGAGAGAGAGGGAGAGAGAAAGAAAGAGGGAGAGAGAGGGACTATTTGCGTGTCTTATCACTACATTCATTACTGTTAGGCGGTACGAAGTTCGCCGGGGCAGCTAGTATATAATATAGATAAAATATCGAATTTAAACAGGCATTGCATATTTTTTGGTGTTTAATTTCTATGTAATGCAGCCTGTGCAATTTCTAGAATTACAAAATATTAATTTTTTTTATTACTATTCGTATTACATGGATACAGTATTGAATTACAGAAATAATTTTTTTATGTTTGTTCAAATAAGATATGTTAAGTGTTACATAGAAAATATATTGACATAAATTGATTTTTTAAAATTATTTTTTAACTTGAGACTGCAAAAGATCTGGAAAAATAAGCATTATACATAAGTATACATAAGTGTGATTACAAATGTGATATTACGACATATTATATGATATAGTGATATAAGTATGTGATTACAAATGTGATATTACATTATATGATATATACTACGTTTACGCGAGCGTTACTTCTGTAGTAACTTACGATATATCACTCGTTTACGCGGAGTAAATTATCGTAAGTTACTACAAAATCCCGTTTACGCGAAGGAATTATCGTAAGTTACTACAGAAGTAACGCTCGCGTAAACGTAATAATAGTAATATATAATTAAAAATGTGGAATGTAATTATATATAAGTATGTATTAACCAAGAATTTTAGTTTTATTTTTATCTCTTATTTTTTACTATGTTAGGCATACACACTAATTAATAAATACAACACAATACATGTAATAAACTGAATAAAAAATTTTCATACTAATATATAGGTAATTTTAAAATTTGTTTAGCACTAGTCAAACTGCCATGGCACAGCACCTTCACTGTTAAAATAATGACAAAATTCATTACGTATTTTGATAGCTGTACGTGAACTATTATTTGTACTGCATCTAGTGATATCTACTAATGCACTGTAGTTAGACAAATCTTGCCTCCAACTACCAGGAATAAATCCTTCAGGTCCATCACGATCTACCATTGTTTCAAGTACATATTCAGAATCTTCATAGTTTATTCGAAGCCAATTATGTAAACACACAAGAGCTTGAATGAGTGTCGCAGTTTTATCTATTTTGCAATCAATATGTCTTCTCAAAATCCTCCATTGGCTACTGAGTATACCAAATGTATTTTCAATTATTTGCCTTGCTCTACTTAAACGATAATTATAGATAATTCTGTTTTCATTAAGACTTTTCCCTGGATAAGGTCGCATTAAATATTCTGATAAAGGAAAGGCTTCATCTCCTATTAATACGTAAGGCATATCAACTCCTTCAAATGACAAAGGTTCCCATTCTGGCAAGTTCATTTTTTTATTTATGAATTTTTGTCCTATTAACGAATCTCTGAAGATTCCACCATCACTTCGTCGTCCATATGCACCAATATCAACAAAAGTAAATCTATATTTAGTATCACGAATAGCTAAAAGCACAATACTGTGACAATTTTTATAATTATAATAAGAGGAACCAGCATTAGCAGGACACTAAAATAAATAATTGAAAATGTTTTTTCATTATTACACAACAAATTAAAAAAATACATATATGTTGCGAGCGCGCAACGATTAGGTAATTCGATAGGTAGCGACAGA